AAAGAAAATAAGCCCCCCATATGTATTTCTGGAAATATTTTGTTCTGTTTTGGTTATTGTTTTTCAAGATTATCAAAATATAATTCACAAATGGAGATATATCTATTTAGAGGTATAGAATGTGATGATTTGATACAACCATCCCCCTTATCTGTAAGGCATACATTCTAAGACTCTGAGTATATGCCTGAAGCCACAGATAGTACCAAACCCTAAATATATTGTCTTTTCATATGCATACATACCTATGATAAAATTTAATTCATAAATTAGGCACAGTAAGAGATTAACAACAATAACTAATAATATAGTAGACCAATTAAAACAACATACTGTAATAAAAGATATGCGAACATGTTGTCTCTCTCTCTCTCTCAAAATATCTTATGGTACTGTTTTGCAGGTATCTGAAGCCACAGAAAGCAAAACCGTGCCTAAAGGTGAACTACTGTGCATGTATACATTGTAAAATGATTACCACAATCAAGCTAATTAACATATCCATCATCTCACAGAGTTCTCTATTGTATGTGTGTATGTGTGTGATAGGAATTCTTTAGATGTACTCTTTTAGCAAATTTCAAGTGTGCAATATATTATTATTAACTATAGTCACGATACTGTATATCAGGCCTTCAGAACTTATTAATCCTGTAACTGAAAGTTTGTACCCTTTGACCAACATCTTCCATTTTCTCCACACCTTCACTCCTGCATCTGAGTTTGACTCTTCCCCTCTCTGCTTCTGTTTGACATTTTTAGATTCCACATATAAGTGAAATCATTCAGTATTTGTCTTTCAATGTCTGGCTTATTTTTCTGATTATAATTTAGTACAATATAGTGGAGTATAATATTGTCCATATTCATTCATGTTGTCACAAATGATAGGATTTCTTTCTTTTTTTGGCTGAATAATATGCCATTTTATAAATATACAATGGAACTGTGTTTGTATACGCACCACATTTTCTTAATCTATTTATCTGTCAATGGACACCTATTTATCTATTATATATTAGAGGAATGCTTTGAAATGCTCAAGTTTGTGTGTCTTCTTTCTAACTTTCTTTCATCCAGGGGGTGGGGAAATTATGAAACACATTTGCAGTGGCCTTGGGCCATTGGGGGTGTCCACAGGTGAGGCATCTTGAGTGCCTCATGGACAAACTTCCTGATGGAGACCACTGGAGCAATTATGAGTCTACAGCTTTTCTTTTCTGGTTCTACCCTCTCCCAATCTCTCACCTGTGCTGATCACCACAGTAATTTGGGTAAGGTAAGAAAGAAGTGGGGCTCTTGGGCAGTGTCTCACACAACTGGGGCAATGACAGTTTATTTACTATACTCTCACTTTCCTTTATGGAAGAAATGGGCTGATGAAGTCTGTCTTGACACTGAGCTGTGACGCCTTGGGGTAGAAAAGGTGCAGGTAAAGTCCAACCATTCTTCTTCTCTTCTCTGTATGCATACTCAGGGTTTTTGCTCTAAGAATGTGCTCAAACTTCTTTGCTGAACTCCTGAATTTCCTACAAAGATACTCTTGTCCATGAGTAGTTGTAAAATTGATGCTTCTGTTGGGGAACGATAGTAGAAAACTCCCTTTTCATCATCTTGCTGATGTCCTGGAAAAGTTTCTTAAGAATATATACTCTGGATATACTTAAAAGCAAGACACTCATAGCATTAAAAGAAGTAGCAGTAAATATTGGAGACATTTCAATAAAGGAAGTAAGACTGTGTAAGTACTGTAACTATAATTTAAAATAAGTGCCAGTATCATTTAAAAAGCATTTTATAATATTTGTGAAAATTTATAATTTTTGATTAAATTTACAAAAATGTATAATTATATTTGAGGAGAAAATAGTAAAAAATTTATATCTTATAAAGTTAAAAAGTTTCATGTTTTTTCCTATGGTAAGTTTTTTAAAAAAATGTGTTAAATTTGACTTCAAAAATTTGAAGATAACAGTCACAGAATTTTAAATACCCACTGGAACATAAAAACAAAGGAAACGTCAATCATGTAGTAAATGACAGAGCACAAAGAAAATAGTATAAATGTTTACAATACAAAACAAAAGCACTCTATTACGAAGGCAGAAAAAACAATCTTCTGCAATAACCATGAATATGAGTAATTGAACTTCCTTTGTTAAAAGGAAAGGCAATTTGTCCAACAGGCAAATTTAACTATATGCTGCTTACAAAAGGTATCTGGAAACCCAAATGATATTAAAGGTTGATCGTTATACTTTATATAAATGGTTTAATAGATAATTATAAATAGATATTAGAAATGGTTACATTAAAATCAAACAAATACAATTAATGGTAAAACAAATTAAAGGGCAAGAAGGTATCATACTATTTTGATCATAGATGCAATTCACAATTAAGGCAAAATAGTGATTTATGCAAGAATAAATTGACTAAGAAAAGCTTTGGTAGTATTAATTACTATTGCTGTATGAGTTCAGGTCAAATGAAAAAAAAATTAATGATATAAATGATTTAATTATTGTTATGCTAATACATTAAGAAGTAAAATGTATTCCACAAGCAAGTATCATATTTATATACACTCATAAAACATGCTGAAAATTCTCAACAAATTCCAAATAATACAAGTTTTTAGGTAACATTTGACCATGATACTGACATATCTAAATTTAGTAGCAAAATTTTAAGTATAGACATCCTATTATCTGGATATATAATTAAAATGCTTGTATACAACTAGGGCAACAATAACAGGAAAGACACAAATTCACTTTAAATTCAAAAAATGTAAGAATACTAATATCCACATACATAGAATGTGACCAATGCTATCTAAAAAAATAATTGCATGAGCTTAAGAGATTATGTTGTTTTCTTCTGTTCTAGGATATAGTTAGTAACCATAAATACCAAAATCAATTACTTAGAACACAGTAAAAATGAATATAATTAATAAATAAGCCTAAGAAGTAATTCTTAGAAGAAAGCAAATAAACTGAAATATACAAAATTTCTTTCAAGTTCTAATGAAGAAATTAAAAACAACACAATATTATATTAGAATATAATAACATCAGAAATCAGAATAAAGACATAATAAAACTGAATTTATAGTAAGCATCTTAATTCTCCGGTCATTGTTGTGTGCATTTTATTAATTTATAAACTAGCACATCTGTACACTAACACCTCATAGTAACACCTATAAATATTTATAGAATAAATGAAAATGGAGGATATTCAAAAACTGAAACAGAATACTTTGCATAGCCATGTACCCATTAACTGCAAGAAAAAGTTACAATTTCAGAGTCATATGCTTAATTTATCGATCTTTTAGGGCTGAAATGATTTTTATTTTATAGGACATAGAAAACACAGAAAAGTTCTTATTTTACAAAGTAGGAAATACAAAGAAAATGTAACCAAAAATAGAAAAGAAAACAAATTATTACATGCAAACACAAACACAATAAAAAAGAAAAAAGAAAAATTTCACTTATGTACAGTGGAAGAACAATAATGTACTAATAAACCTAATTAAAATATTAAAAATATAGTTCACCATATGAAAATAGGATTTTTTTCAGGGAGGAAATCTAATATGAGGCTGTTTAGTCTCCAGTTATGAGCATAGCCTTTGGATCCAGGCAGCTTGATTTAATTCTCTGTTCTCTCACTTAGTAGCTGCCTGACCTTGAACAAATGACTTCACCTCTTTATGCCTTAGTTTCTTAATCTGTAAAATGGGGATAATAATAGCAATGATCTTAAAGAATCACTTGTGAAAATTATATGATATATAAAATGCTGAGCAGAATGCCTGATATACAATCAGTGCCATTATTATTGTTACTATGATTAATCACTATTATTATTTTAATTCATAATATCAGGAGTCTTCTTTATTGGATTTGTATTCCAAAGCAGTAATGCATACAATTGCTGCAATGTGATGTTTTATGTTATTTGGATTAGCAATATAAGTAAAGAAAATCAAAAAAGCAAAGGAATCATGTGTATTATGTAAAGGAAAATGTCAAATTCCAACATTCTCCTTTCTGCAGGACCAGAAAATGTTTCTCTAGCAGTCGGTGTGATTCATTTATGACCAGTGGTTGAGGCTAGTCTGGTAAAATCTGAAGTCCCAGGGTACAGCTACATCATTGGCCCTATGATACACTGTTCCAGAACATTCTTACACATGGAGTGGGAAGATTTTGTTAACTATACTTGTGACTACTCCACAGTAAAGCTGAAAACAAAGTATTGGGTGAGCTATCTTCTAAAATCTGGAGGTGGTTTTGGAGATAGAGTATCATTGCCATAAGTTTAAAGGGGGAATTGGATTTAATAAGGAAAAATTGAAAGTAGGGGTAGAAGATAAACTACTAAATGAAATATTTGGCCAACCAGGTACAAAGAAGGGCTCTAATTGGCTCCTTTAAGTCCTATATGCAAATATCAAATCCCGATGCTTACTATTTATTGTATAGAATAAATTTGCCTTACCTTACTTTGAAATATGAAATGAGAATCAAATTATACTTTAAATTATTGAAAATAGTTGTACAAATAAAAAGATTATCTTATTGTGGGCACTGCACAAACCCACCAATGAATAAGTAATCTTTAAATTCTATGAAGTAATTTGTAATCTGATAACAGTAAGAAAAAAATCTCATACTTTGATTCATTACCACTACACTCACCACTATATCACTGTCCAATGTCATCATAATTTCACTGCCACTTAAAATTGCACTGCAGCCATAGAAAGACAGAATTTGTGGCACTGGTGACCTATCCAAAAGAGAAGGAAAAAGGAACAGGAAGTGGAGAAATACCATCTCATAAATTTCACCCAACCACATTTAACAGCCACCTGGAGTTCACACCAACTAACTGTTGGATCTCCTATGATGAATATGCCTCTATCACAATGTTGAGGCCATTGAGTTTCTCATATATTAAAATTGATCTTAATGCAGTTATTTTTTTTTTTTTTGAGACGGAGTTTTGCTCTTGTTACCCAGGCTGGAGTGCAATGGCGCAATCTCGGCTCACCGCAACCTCTGCCTCCTGGGTTCAGGCAATTCTCCTGCCTCAGCCTCCTGAGTAGCTGGGATTACAGGCATGTGCCACCATGCCCAGCTAATTTTTTGTATTTTTAGTAGAGACGGGGTTTCACCATGTTGACTAGGATGGTCTCGATCTCTTGACCTTGTGATCCACCCGCCTCGGCCTCCCAAAGTGCTGGGATTACAGGCTTGAGCCACCGCGCCCGGCCTGCTGTTACTTTTAAGAACAACTTCATGGTCATAATATTCTCTTTAATAAATATGATTCATTTATTTAATAAATGAATAAATTTGTTTATCAACATTAATTCATTAATGAAATTAATAAATAAATTCATTTGAATCATATTTATTACCAGAATCTTCAGAAGAAAAGTTATAGCTCTTACTGACTTCAGAAGCTGCTGTGGATGACTGTGTAATTTATCATCAAAATGGAAGAAATTTGAGAGTGAAAGAAAACACTAAAATAATTAAATTTATATTGTTTTTGGAAAATGTTCATTGCTTGAAAATATTGTTTATTGTATGAAATTTTGTATATTTATATTCATGCATCTATAAAACAATTCTATTCAAAAAGTACTTTAAAACAAAAGTTTTTTAAAATATATATATATATTTTTTAATTGCATTTTAGGTTTTGGGGTACATGTGATGAACATGCAAGATTGTTGCATAGGTACACAAATGGCAGTGTGGTTTGCTGCCTTCCGTCCCCTCACCTGTATCTGTCATTTCTCCCCATGCTATCTCTTCCCACCTCCCCACCCCCCCGCCCCTCCCCATTTCCCCCCAACAGACCCCAGTGTGTAGTGCTCCCCTCCCTGTGTCCATGTGTTCTCATTGTTCAACACCCGCCTATGAGTGAGAATATACGGTGTTTGATTTTCTGCTCTTGTGTCAGTTTGCTGAGAATGATGGTTTCCAGGTTCATCCATGTCCCTACAAAGGACGTGAACTCATCGTTTTTGATGGCTGCGTAATATTCCATGGTGTATATGTACCACATTTTCCCTATTCAGTCTATCATCGTTGGGCATTTGGGTTGGTTCCAGGTCTTTGCTATTGTAAACAGTGCTGCAATGAACATTCGTGTGCACGTGTCCTTGTAGTAGAATGATTTATAATCCTTTGGATATATACCCAGTAATGGGATTGCTGGGTCAAATGGGATTTCTATTTTTAGGTCCTTGAGGAATCGCCACACTGTCTTCCACAATGGTTGAATTAATTTACATTCCCACCAACAGTGTAAAAGTGTTCCTATTTCTCCACATCCTCTCCAGCATCTGTTGTTTCCCGATTTTTTAATGTTCGCCATTCTAACTGGTGTGAGATGGTATCTCAATGTGGTTTTGATTTGCATTTCTCTGATGACCAGTGATGATGAGCATTTTTTCATATGTTTGTTGGCCTCCTGTATGTCTTCTTTTGTAAAGTATCTGTTCATATCCTTCGCCCATTTTTGAATGGGCTTGTTTGTTTTTTTCTTGTAGATCTGCTTTAGTTCTTTGTAAATTCTGGATATCAGCCCCTTGTCAGATGGGTAGGCTGCAAAAATTTTTTCCCATTCTGTTGGTTGCCGATTCACTCTACTGACTGTTTCTTTTGCCGTGCAGAAGCTGTGGAGTTTGATTAGGTCCCATTTGTCTATTTTGGCTTTTGTTGCCATTGCTTTTGGTGTTTTGGTCATGAAGTCCTTGCCTACACCTATGTCCTGAATGGTTTTGCCTAGATTTTCTTCTAAGGTTTTTATGGTATTAGGTCTGATGTTTAAGTCTTTAATCCATCTGGAGTTAATTTTGGTGTAAGGTGTCAGGAAGGGGTCCTGTTTCTGCTTTCTGCACATGGCTAGCCAGTTTTCCCAACACCATTTATTAAACAGGGAGTCCTTTCCCCATTGCTTGTTTTTGTCAGGTTTGTAAAATATATTTTTAAAAGTCTTTGTGTACTTTAAAACAGGTTGAAATATGGTTATATAAACTATTAGAAAGTTACATAAGCAGAAAGAATATTATCTGTACATATTTATGTGCTTTAATCAGCTCTTTAGCTGAATGTCTGTGTTTCTAAAAAAAATAGTTTTCTGCGATCTCATTCTGCAGTTCTTTCACCTTCTCCTTGCTTTTGTAGAGATAAATGTCTTCCTGCTTGCAAGATATTGTCTTCAATAATTTCAGTTTGCAAAAAGCTAAATACATTGTTTAAAAATTTTCAGCCAATTTTGCGTGCTGTGTAACCAAAAGTTAAATAACTCATTTATCAAAATATGAATATCATTGCAGGACATTAAGGTTGATTTATAAAGTAGTTACTCAAATGATCAAACGTTCCTAAAATCTTACTGAGAGGCTGCAGAAAAAGCATACTGTTATGCTGAAGATTTTTAAATTCAATATTAGCTTTATCACCAAAGTTTACTCCAATTGTGTAGGTATTAAAATATTTATGGATTTTTACATCTGTAACTTCTATTTCAATCAGAATTTTTTATGATACTTAAGTTCTGGGATACATGTGCAGAATGTGCAGGTTTGTTTCAAAGGTTTACATGTGCCATGGTGGTTTGCTGCACCCATCAACCTGTTGTCTACATTAGGTGTTTATCTTAATGCTATCCCTCCCCTTGCCCCCCATCCCCCAGCAGGCTCCAATGTGTGATGTTCCCCTCCCTGTGCCCATGCGTTCTCATTGTTCAGCTCCCAGTTATGAGTGAGAACATGCATTGTTTGGTTTTCTGTTCTTGTGTTAGTTTGCTGAGAATGATGGTTTCCAGCTTCATCCTCCTCCCTGCAAAGGACATGAACTCATCCTTTTTTATGGTTTCATAGTATTTCATGGTGTATATGTGCCACATTTTATTTAATCAGTCTATCGTTGATGGATATTTGGATTGGTTCCAAGTCTTTGCTACTGTGAATAGTGTGGTAACAAACATATGTGCACATGTATCTTTATAGGAGAATTATTTATAATCCTTTGGATATGTACCTAGTAATGGGATTCCTGGGTCAAATAGTATTGCTAATTTTAGATCCTTGAGGAATCACCACACTGTCTTGCACAATGGTTGAACTAATTTACACTCCCACCAACAGTGTAAAGGCATTCTTATGTCGCCACATCTTCTTCAGCTTCTGTTGTTTTCTGTCTTTTTAATGATAGCCATTTCTAACTGGTATGAGATGATATCTCGTCGTAGTATTAATTTGCATTTCCCTAATGTCCAGTGACGATGAGCTATTTTTCATGTTTGTTGGCCATGTAAATATCTTCTTTTAAAAAGTGTCTGTTTGTATCCTTCATCCAATTTTTGATGGGGTTATTTTTTTTCTTGTAAATTTGTTTCAGTTTCTCGTAGATTCCAGATATTAACCTTTTGTCAAATGGATAGGTTGCAAAATTTTTCTCCCATTCTGTAGGTTGTCTATTCACTCTGATGATTGTTTCTTTTACTGTGCAGAAGCTCTTTAGTTTAATTAGATCCCATTTGTCAATTTTAGTATTTGCTGCCATTGCTTTTGGTGTCTTAGTCATGAAGTCTTTGCTCATGCCTGTGTCCTGAATAGTATTGCCTAGGTTTACTTCTAGGGTTTTTATGGTTTTAGGTATTATGTTTAAATCTTTAATCCATCTTGAGTTAACTTCGTATAAGGTGTAAGGAAGGGGTCCAGTTTCACTTTTCTGCATATGGCTAGTCAGTTTTCCCAACACTATTTATTAAATAGGGAATCCTTTCCCCATTTCTTGTTTTTGTCAGGTTTGTCAAAGATCAGATGCTTATAGATTTGTGGTGTTATTTCTGAGGCCTCTGTTTTGTTCCATTGGTCCATATATCTGTTTTGGTACCAGTACCAAGCTGTTTTGGTTACTGTAGCCTTAGTATAGTTTGAAGTCAGATAGCATGATGCTTCTACCTTAGGATTGTTCTTTTTGCTTAGGATCGTCTTGGCAACACAGGCTCTTTTTTGGTAGAATATTACAGCTGTTTGGATTAAATTATAAATTATGAGTATACTACATCCAACTCCAAATACATTTCTCCTCCATAGATTGCTTGGTTTAGGAAGAATATTATTGTTACCAGGATGATGTGCTCCATCAAATTTATATCTAATTTGTATCTGTATTATCACCACAAAACAGATACTTTAATTTCAGGCTTGCACTTTTAATTTTCACAGTGGTCTCAAGATATTTCACCTTTGAGAATGAATTCCAAAAGCTCTATTTTGGTTACCAAAGCCACATGGGGAAAAAAAAAAAAACACATTATTGGAATTAATGATTTTCCATTTGAAGCATCTGCTGATACAAAACAGACATCCTTTGAGCTTGAGAAGTTCTGTTACTAATGGAGCCACATTTTCTGCTATTGCTTCCTGCTTTATGCATACACAAAAACATGGAAGTGAAAATGAGCAAAATTAACTTAAACCAACAGCCAACTAATAGAAATAAAAATTTACGCTTTAAAGAGTGACATACAGACATGCCCTCTGTGGTCACATGCGTAAAATTGTCCTTCTGGGCATAGTCTTCCCAAAATAACAACTTTGAAGGCTGATGCTACTGACTTCCTAGAAGACTTTTTGTCTGCTAGTTGTCATCTGGTCTGTGAAATCATGGGCTTTTATGATGTATGAAAACCCTACTTTTAATTTTTTAATTAAACATGCACTTTGATTTCTTTAGGTCAGTGTTGCATGTATTGCAAAATTCAGAAAGTATTGCCAAATAATGTGATAGATAAATCTCCATACACTTAAAATTGGTAAATGACAACATCACTGTAACAATAGCATTCAAACCACTTTGCTATACATTTTAAGACTGGACCGCTCAGTCTCTATCTTTCACAAATATGTGATGGTATTTACTTAGCTATATATTCTACATTTCCCAATGACTCTTCTAGGATCCTGGTTGGTTTTGTATATCTTGCAGGCCTCACAGGCTACAACAAAACTGGCTGTTATACTAAGGGGAGCAGCAACTAATACTTCTTCCACCATCTCCAAGAAAAAAGGAATTTGTTATTCATACCTAAGTGCCTTGCTCAGTCTTCTTGAATCTGGAAAAGTCTTCAAAAAACTTAAGAGAGAGATAGGTTACTGCTGATTATCTTTCTGTGTGTATATGTCTTATACCTACTACCAGTAAGAAAAGAAGAAGAACTGGAAATAAAATAGAGGTCTACCAAACTTATTCTGACTTATTTTTATACAACTATTAATAATAATACATGAATAAAAATTAATAGACTTGGATATGTACCAGCTGAATAGGATGCAAGGACCACAGTATCAACTAAGACTGTCCCATCCAAACTGGGATGGTGATCACCCTTCACAGAAGAAAGCTTCTAGTGGTATCAGATATTTAAGTACCATTTACTAAGGGCCAGACCTCAAGGTATTTTGATGACAAAATGGTAATGAAAAGAGAAGCCCTATTTCTTTCAGTAGGCCCAGTTTACAGAGTTTACCTTCGCAAAGCATACAGTTTTCAAAGACCATTCTCACTATTAACTTCTTTGTTCCAAAAAGCACACTGTCCCCTATAACACCACTGGCTTCAAGAACTTTCTCAACAACCAACCCAAAGGCAGCCAGCATAGCAGAGCACAATCTGCAGATTCTCTGTTTATGCCACTTTGAGTATAGCACCCCCTCCCAGCACCAACGGGATGGGCCATTGCTATAAGCAGGCTTTCTCACTCAGCCTCTTCTCTTGGTGCCATTCAGCAGCTCCAAGAGCAGCCAAAGCCACAGGAATGTCAGGGTGATTATTGGCCAATGTCAAACTTACTTTAGAGCAAAGGCCCTTTAAGTTCAGGAGACAGATTTACCTTTCTTACAGGCTTAATAGAATTAAGCAAATCAGCACTTCCTGCTGAAGGCGAGCTGCACAACCACCAAGTTACCAGTATCATTAAGGAAGCACATGTGTTTAAAATAAAATTGTTTCTAACAGTGGGTCTCAAATACCTGCTATTCTGGCATACTCTTTGACTTTTAGATCGCTGTCAAGCTGTGATGACTTTAACCTTATTCTTTGAAAATTCTCCTTTCCCCCTCCTTTCTCTATCCATCTCTCAAATTAAATTTCTTCTAATGAAAAGTGAAATAGAATATACTCAAAATATACTTGAGGGTCAAGTTGGCATCATTTTTTTCCTTTCTTATAAGACATTTGCACTCCATTTCAACCAGTGGTCCCATTATTCCTCCTGTTTCTAAACAAGGAACACTGGCCTCCTCACTTTTCTCAGATCATGTAAGTTGCCAGTCTTTCAGGCTTTGTCATAATTTTCTAAAAACTGACTCTTAAATTTCCTGCTTACTCACCATTCCCATGCTATGCTATCTGTCCAATCTGAGCCTTAATAACCTCTTCTCTGTGATAATGAACCCAAATTTCCACCGTTACCATCCTGGTGTTATAAGCAGGCGAAGCCAGGACAGCTTGGTTTCTAGCCCAATTCTGTTATCTAGTAGGTAAACTTTGATTATTTAACCTCTCTCTGCCTCAGTTTTATCTGTAAACTGGGATTAATAACAGTACTTGTTCCATAGGAATGTTGTGAGGATTAAATGAGCTTTATGTAAATTACTTAGCTCTGAGGTAACTGGCTGTTATTTCACCCCTTATATCTCCAGTCTGGGGGTTTATAGGGGATCAAGTAGTGTAGGGTCACCATCCATTGACAGTGAATGTAGGAAAGCTTTGCAAAGTGCTTAAGGCAACTTTCTTATCTTAACAAGGCCAAGGTTGCTTGATATAGGATCAAAGTAACATTACAAGAAAGAATATGAGTTCCTCAAACAGAAGAGAGGGTGGTCTTTAGAAGGAAATCAGTCCTCAGTGTTTGGAAATATATGTTTGAGTTCAGATACTTCAAAGAGAACTGGCCCTCAATCCAGAATGCAAATCTTGCACAAAAATCCGAACTTGTTCTCCATAATTTATCCAAGTAATTCAATTTAGCACACTGATCACTGTTCTTTTCTGAATGCTATAAATGTTCAAAAGTTTTTCTAAAAGCTGTTACCAAATACACATCTATTAGATTTTCTTTTCTTCTAATGAGTCACACATTTATAACAAATTAGATACTTTATACTTGTTTTGTGAGACACACAGAGATTCAATGATTGGTGTTATTAAATCAGAAAAAAAATTCTTTAGAGAGTTGCATGACTTTTCAAACTAAATTCTCTAGTAGTAAATTTAGGATAATTATACCAGGCCTAATGTTAATCTCAGAAAGATAATGTAGGCAAAAGTGCCTTATATCATGTCTAAATGTGTGATATTATTAAATCACATAGCTGTGGTTTCAGTTTTGATGTATATGTGTGTGCACAGCTAAGGGGACTAATTCATGGAAACTTAAACTACTGTTGCTAGCCAATTGCTCTACACCAACTCGCCAAGTTATACTCTGTTGTCATCATCCTAGCCCTCTCACTTAATGGGTAATAATAATTGCTACCAATTATGAAGCACCTTTTTTTGACATTCAGTTAGACATTTTATACATAACATCTCTAGACTCATACCTTCGGACCTACCTTAGACACACATATGTACCTGTGGCTTATTTCTGGAGCAGGTAGTTAGGCCCTCTCTGTTCTTGTGTGTTTAGTTTGTCTTCATTGGTAACTCCTTTTGCTTCTTCATTATTCACAGCAAAGGTGTCTCAAGAGTTCTGAAAGAGGATTGGCAGAAACATCCCTAAAGAAACTTCAGTCATTTCTTTACTCCATGTTACCAATGACCAAATACAAATTCAAGCTATTGAGAGAGGCTGAGGACTGATAATGCTCTGTTTCTGGTCAAACTCAGCCCTCAGCCCTACTATGGTTGTTCCTGAGTCTGTGGCCTCATCACCCAGACCTTCAGTGTGATCCTTTTATGAGCCTCCCTCAGCCAGGCATTTCTCAAGGGAGCCCTCTCCATGCCTACCCACTTGGCCTCCCACTTGACCTCCAACCAAACCAGTGCTTTGGTTCATTCATGCTCTCATCTCCTTTTCTTTTTTTTTTTTTTTTTTTTTTTTTTTTCTTTTTTTTTTTTTTTTATTGCATTTTAGGTTTTGGGGTACATGTGATGAACATGCAAGATTGTTGCATAGGTACACACATGGCAGTGTGCTTTGCTGCCTTCCGTCCCCTCACCTGTATCTGTCATTTCTCCCCATGCTATCTCTTCCCACCTCCCCACCCCCCGCCCCTCCCCCATTTCCCCCCAACAGACCCCAGTGTGTAGTGCTCCCCTCCCTGTGTCCATGTGTTCTCATTGTTCAACACCCGCCTATGAGCGAGAATATACGGTGTTTGATTTTCTGCTCTTGTGTCAGTTTGCTGAGAATGATGGTTTCCAGGTTCATCCATGTCCCTATAAAGGACGTGAACTCATCGTTTTTGATGGCTGCATAATATTCCATGGTGTATATGTACCACATTTTCCCTATCCAGTCTATCATCGTTGGGCATTTGGGTTGGTTCCAGGTCTTTGCTATTGTAAACAGTGCTGCAATGAACATTCGTGTGCACGTGTCCTTGTAGTAGAATGATTTATAATCCTTTGGATATATACCCAGTAATGGGATTGCTGGGTCAAATGGGATTTCTATTTTTAGGTCCTTGAGGAATCGCCACACTGTCTTCCACAATGGTTGAATTAATTTACATTCCCACCAACAGTGTAAAAGTGTTCCTATTTCTCCACATCCTCTCCAGCATCTGTTGTTTCCCGATTTTTTAATGATCGCCATTCTAACTGGTGTGAGATGGTATCTCAATGTGGTTTTGATTTGCATTTCTCTGATGACCAGTGATGATGAGCATTTTTTCATATGTTTGTTGGCCTCCTGTATGTCTTCTTTTGTAAAGTATCTGTTCATATCCTTTGCCCATTTTTGAATGGGCTTGTTTGTTTTTTTCTTGTAGATCTGCTTTAGTTCTTTGTAAATTCTGGATATCAGCCCCTTGTCAGATGGGTAGACTGCAAAAATTTTTTTCCCATTCTGTTGGTTGCCGATTCACTCTACTGACTGTTTCTTTTGCCGTGCAGAAGCTGTGGAGTTTGATTAGGTCCCATTTGTCTATTTTGGCTTTTGTTGCCATTGCTTTTGGCGTTTTGGTCATGAAGTCCTTGCCTACACCTATGTCCTGAATGGTTTTGCCTAGATTTTCTTCTAAGGTTTTTATGGTATTAGGTCTGATGTTTAAGTCTTTAATCCATCTGGAGTTAATTTTGGTGTAAGGTGTCAGGAAGGGGTCCTGTTGCTGCTTTCTGCACATGGCTAGCCAGTTTTCCCAACACCATTTATTAAACAGGGAGTCCTTTCCCCATTGCTTGTTTTTGTCAGGTTTGTCGAAGATCAGATGGTTGTGAGTATGTTGTATTTCCTGTGAGGCCTCTGTTCTGTTCCATTGGTCTATATCTCTGTTTTGGTACCAGTACCATGCTGTTTTGATTACTGTAGCCTTGTAGTATAGTTTGAAGTCCGGTAGTGTGATGCCTCCAGCTTTGTTCTTTTTGCTTAGAATTGACTTGGCTATGCGGGCTCTCTTTTGGTTCCATATGAAGTTTAAGGTGTTTTTTTCCAGTTCTGTGAAGAAGGTCATTGGTAGCTTGATGGGAATAGCGTTGAATCTGTAAATTACTTTGGGCAGTATGGCCATTTTCACGATGTTGATTCTTCCTAACCATGAACATGGAATGTTTCTCCATCTGTTTGTATCCTCTCTTATTTCGTTGAGCAATGGCTTGTAGTTCTCCTTGAAGAGGTCCTTTACGTTCCTTGTTAGTTGTATTCCTAGGTACTTTATTCTCTTTGTAGCAATTGTGAATGGCAGTTCGTTCTTGATTTGGCTCTCTTGAAGTCTATTACTGGTGTATAGGAATGCTTGTGATTTTTGCACGTTGATTTTGTATCCTGAGACTTTGCTGAAGTTGTTTATCAGTTTCAGGAGATTTTGGGCTGAGATGATGGGGTCTTCCAGATATACAATCATGTCATCTGCAAATAGAGACAATTTGATTTCCTCCTTTCCAATTTGGATACCCTTTATTTCTTTTTCTTGCCTGATTGCTCTGGCTAGAACTTCCAGTACTATATTGAATAGGAGTGGTGAGAGAGGGCATCCTTGTCTAGTGCCAGATTTCAAAGGGAATGCTTCCAGTTTTTGCCCATTCAGTATGATATTGGCTGTTGGTTTGTCGTAAATAGCTTTTATTGTTTTGAGATACGTTCCGTCAATACCTAGTTCATTGAGGGTTTTTAGCATAAAGGGTTGTTGAATTTTGTCAAAAGCCTTCTCTGCATCAATCGAGATAATCATGTGGTTTTTGTCTTTGGTTCTGTTTATGTGGTGAATTACGTTTATGGACTTGCGTATGTTGAACCAGCCTTGCATCCCCGGGATGAATCCTACTTGATCATGGTGGATGAGCTTTTGGATATGCTGTTGCAATCGGTTTGCCAGTATTTTATTGAAGATTTTTGCATCTATGTTCATCATGGATATTGGCCTGAAATTTTCTTTTCTTGTTGAGTCTCTGCCGGGTTTTGGTATCAGGATGATGTTTGTCTCGTAAAATGATTTGGGAAGGATTCCCTCTTTTTGGATTGTCTGGAATAGTTTCAGAAGGAATGGTATCAGCTCCTCCTTGTATGCCTGGTAGAATTCAGCTGTGAACCCATCTGGACCTGGGCTTTTTTTGGGTGGTAGGCTCTTTATTGCTGCCTCGACTTCAGACCATGTTATTGGTCTATTCAGGGTTTCGGCTTCTTCCAGGTTTAGGCTTGGGAGGTTGCAGGTGTCCAGGAATTTATCCATTTCTTCCAGGTT